CTTAAATTCTTTTATTATTATTATTATTATTATTATTATTTTATTAACCATCACTAGGTTCATTATTCCAACGATGTGAGGGATATTTCATTATCGTTTCCATTTTCACATTATTCCCCACCCGATGTAAGTAAATTTAAAATTTTTAATTTAAATAATAAAATTTTGATTACTAATACATACAGCTTATTTTGTTATACATCGATAAAAACCATAAATATATAATAGAACTTGTTAGTTTTAATGATACAAATAATAAAAATTATTAATATATAATTTTATAAGATATATATATATATCAATTCCCTAAAGTTTTAACCACTCGAAAATATTTTGTAAAGACTTAATTTTGGATTTTTACATTAGGTTTATTGAAGCTATTTTCATTTAGAAATTAATAGCTGGGCCAAACCAACATGAAAAAAATTTTGCATGGGAGTTAACAATATAATCGTCAACATTAATTAATTAAAGGAAATGTGTAAAGCAAAAAATTGATAAAAGGGAAACAAAAATTCTCAATCAATAACCAAACATTCTTCTAACTACCAACTCGCTCCTTAATTTTCCTCAGCAAATAGTAGTAATTATTTTTACCAAAAAAACCTAGTAATTTTTTTTTTCTAAAAAAAACAGCTTCCATTTTTTTATAAAAAAATAATTAAATTAATAAATTAATATCTATTCTAAAAAAAATGAAACTTGAGATTATGAATACATTCCATCAACGACCTTTTTAGATAATAATGATCACCATTAAAGCACCACAGGAAATGCGGCTTCCATTCATTTATTTCAATTGAACTACAATTAAATGTGAACACAAAAGGAAGAGTCTACGTGCTAGTGGACGTCATTATCATTATAATAAAAAGTCACAAGTACTTTTTTTTTTTTACAGAAAAAATAATTTGGTTGCACTTAGCCTTTGAGGTTTAGTGACAATATTCACCCCGGTGCATTTCTCATCTTTCGGGCTGGGTTTGAAACCCATCCTTGTAAACATGTTTAAAAAAAATAATAATAATAATTTGATTATTAAGTTAATATTTATTTTAAAAAATATTAAATTTAAAATTAAAACTATATTTTATTGGTTATCTTTTTAAGTAGTAATAACCACTATTAAACCACAATAGGAAATGCAAAAATCACAAGTACTTGGGCGAAGAAAAAGGGTTTTTTTTTTTTTTTTAA